AAATCATTGGCAAAATTCTCAGTGGCTGGTGATGATTAGGACCCAAATCCTGTACGTCAAGTCAGTGCAGTTAACTTTTTCTTCAGTTACATAGCTCTGTGTTTATCTCTTCCACTTTTTATTTTTGAGGATTTTATGGAGGATTGATCCTAGCTGTCACAATCTTTTCCAATATCCCCCTTGCTCCCACCATATGCTGGCAAATCTTACCTCCAGCTTTTCAGAACCAGAACCTTTCAGGTTAATATGCATTATTGCTGGCTATCGTGCATTACAGTGATTTACTTTGTGTTTTTTACATCATAAGGACTCTTGATTATGTCCAGAGATTACCACAGTTTTTAGACTGAAATGTAATATTTTCACGATCAAATTGGCTATTCTGTCTATGGTAGTTAATAAAACATGGGAGTCTGGGTTTTAAATGACCACTATGATGGCACTTCGTATGCAAGAAAGGGATATGCACTGAGGCTATATCTACACTATGAAGGTTTTCCGGGATACTTCTCTAGACCTTCAGTATTTTGGAAAAACTCCGTTGCGTTCAAGGAACACGTTTGCTTTTCTGCTTTTTATTTTGAGATATGCACTGAGGCTATATCTACACTATGAAGGTGTCCTTCTCTAGACCTTCTCTAGACCTTCAGTATTTTGGAAAAACTCCGTTGCGTCCAAAGAACACGTTTGCTTTTCTGCTTTTTTTTTTTGCGGAAGACCAAACATGCTCTTTTGGGGAGCCCTGTATTTCTCAGTCTACGAGGGATAAGGGCTTTGCTGAAAGAGGAGGCTTTTCCACCATTTTGCCCTGTTTAGACTGGGCCAAATGGCGGAAAAGCCTCTTCCAGAAAAGCGATTGGAAAAAGCTACACAATTTGCATAGCTTTTTCCGACAAAGGACTGTAGTATAGACCTAGCCTAGGAGAAGAGATGCTCTCAAAATCCCTTACATCAGCAGTTCTTTGCCATAATATATTCCTTTTCTTATTGGCTTTGTGAAACCATTATATAGTTAGCAACACCAATTTCTAGTGACAGGCAGGTATTTAAATTGCCAGCATATCTTTTCCATTAATACCAAGATGAATCATTTAACTAAAAACATAGAATCATAAAATACTAGGACTGGAAGGGACCTCGAGAGGTCATCGAGTCCAGTACCCTGACCTCATGACATGACCATGTATTGTCTAGACCATCCCCGATAGACATTTATCTAACCTACTCTTAAATATCTCCAGAGATGAAGATTCCACAACCTCCCTAGGCAATTTATTCCAGTGTTTAACCACCCTGACTTTTTCCTAATGTCCAACCTAAACCTCCCTTGTTGCAGTTTAAGCCCATTGTTTTTTGTTCTGTCCTCAGAGGCCAAGGAGAACAATTTTTCTCCTTCCTCCCTGTGACACCCTTTTAGATACCTGAAAAC